GGCTCTGAGTTCAAACCCCAGTGCCAACCAAAATAAAAACAAATGCTGAACTCAGAGGGAGAGTACAAAGCTCTGGGTTCTATCCCCAGCACAACAAAATAAGAACCAAGTAGGTGACCCTTCCTGCTCAGGTGGCGTTTGTGACAAGGACATGCTAGTTATTGTACTGCCCTCAAATGACATCCTGGGGTGATGCAGGCCTTCTCACCTGTGATTCTGAGTGGAGAGGGGAGGGTGCTGAGTGGAGGATACAGGGCAGGTCTGTGTGCTAAAGGCCTCGGTCCACAGATCGTTATTTGGCCATCTGCCTCCAGATGGAGGAGCCCCAGCTGTCCCTGGGCTCTGCCGTCTGCCTCTCTACTGTACTGCCAGCACCCCACAGTGTGGCAGTGGCTGCTGTTTTTACCCCACTTGAGAGATGAACAGTTGAGGCCTTGGGAGTGGAGAGTCTGTGGAGGTGAGTGACTGGGCCATCCCAGCAACAAGGGGGCCATTTCTCCCCACCGGGCTGACTGGGCTGGGCCTCCACCTCCGTGTGTGGGGTGTCCAGCCAGGGGAACCCACAGTGGGGCTAAATAGTAAGGCCTTCTGGAGGAAGGAAAAGATTCCCAGAGTTCAGTGCTTCAAGCCATTTTGGTTTAAACACACATACACACACACACACAACCTAATTAGAGGTGACAGTGGTGACTTTGTGTGTTCACTTTTTCCTCCCTCTTCCCCACACCTCCCCCTTCTCTCTGCCCCTCATAAGTTGTGTCCCTGGGAGAACTGGGTAACATTATAACTACCAAAAACAGCGTGGTCCCTGGAAGCTGGGGGAGGAGCTGGAGTGCAGTAGGCCCTTTTGGAAAAAAAAGAAAAGATTTTTTTTTTTTTTAGGTTTTATTTTATTTTTTTCCCATTCGTTTGGAAAAGAAGCCCTTTGCAATCGTGCTGTCACAGTTAAAATAAGGTTTAAATTACAGGCCAGCCCATGGCTTTCCCCCTTTCTTTCAGAATTTTTGCCAACTTGCAATTTACTTAATGAAATCCTGCTATTCCGTTTAACGGGGATATTTTGTGCAGATGTTGATTTAACTTAGCTTTGCAAAATATGTGAACTGTACCGTTTCTTTTCCTATTTTTAACGGTTTCAGGATTCTAGTTCAGCAACTCCGCTGGCCCTGCCATGCCAACAGCTCTGTTTACCCGGGCCCTGCAAATGCTTGTTTTCCATGCTCGGCTGCCCATCCCGCCCACGTGCCCGCCGCGGGGAGGGTCCCTTCCACAGGGCACAGCCTCCACTGGAGATGCCACAGACACAGGAACTGGTGGAACTGGCCTGATGGGGCCGGAAGGCACCAGAGTTTCTGATAGCCTAGCCCCCTTGGTTTGATGCCAGAGTGGGGAAGTCATTTGCCTAAAGTCATATAGTTGAGTTAGAAGCAGACTGGTCAGGGCCTAGTTGTCCCCTTGGACCGGTGGAGTAGGGAGTGGGATGCTTGCCTTTGGCCCTTTGGGCTGTTTGTCCTCTGCAGGGAACTGTGGGCTTGCCCCACTCACCCCTCTTGTATTGGGAGGCAAGTCCTACCTTATTTCTTCCTGAGGCAGTTGTGGTGTAGAAGAACCCTGAATGGGGCTCCTAATCCTTGTGGGACCTAGGGGCTCCTGCTGCTGACTAGCCAGTGTGCCCCAGGCACAGTGGCTCTCTGAGCCTCAGTTTCCTATTTGTACAGTGTAGGTGACACCCTGTCTCCAGGTGCTGACTTAAGGACCTAAAGGGGGGTTGTTGTGAGGTACCTGAGGCTCAGCAGTTAGTTACCCAGGGCGATGCCTTTTAAGCCTCACAAACTACCATCTCTGACATCCGGGTAGCCTGGGAGGAGACATGGTGTGCCTTCCCAACCCATGTCAGATGTGAATCTGGGATCTAGGGAAGGTCTGAGTCAGACATAGCAGGAAATACCCCTTCTCTGTGGATTTGGGGACTTCCTCAGCCACCCTCTCTTTAATAAGGAGCCACAGGAATGGCAGGGGCTCATATGGACAGGAGAGAGTGAACACATTATTTAGCCTGGGGAGAGCAGGTAGAGGTCCACAGATGGTGTGGGACTTGTGGAGAGCAGAGCTGACCAGGGCTCTGTAGCTTGGGCCACAGTATCCCTCCTGGTTGCTCCCAAGGGGTGTGTGTAAGGGCCCCTCTGGTGGGATCTCTCTCTGGCTCCCCATGCAGGAGCCTGGCCTTCTTCAGTTCTGTCCCTTGGGCCTCCCTTGCCTCTTGGTACCCCCTGCCTGGTGACGTTGGGAGAGATTTAAAGGAGGCAGCGAAAGTGGGCCTGTGGGAGCATGGAGGGGTGGGGCAGGGCAGCAGCTCAGTGCCTGAGGGGCCTCCGCCTGGGCCTGCTATGAAGTGCATTCCCTATAAGGCCCTGGATGGTGGAATGTTCTCAAAGGTACAAGCAGGACAACAGAGTCACCCAGGTACAGCACAGTGCCAGGGCACTGGGGATCCAACTCTGCAGACATGGCCACCTGATGGGGCAGAGAGGCCTACTCCAAGCACCAGGGGCTGGCTGCCCCCCGGTGGGACTGACAGGGCCGTGGGACCCTCCTTGAAGCAAACTCCACATTTACTTCATTTATATGGGATTGCTGTTGTCTTCAGGTATGATTGTGGGTGGAGGCATGGGGTAGGAAAGTGTGACAGGAACTTTTGTTCACCAAAGTCATCTTCATAGGGATCCTTTTGTAGTCACAAATCTTAGAAGTCTTATTTTCACCATTAAATATGAAGTCATATGTGATTACACACAGAGTGCAGTTATATTCTCTTTGTAGAAAAGTCAGAACACACTGAGAAAGCAGAAGTGTGCCCTTCCTCCCCAACCCATGCCCCTCCTGAGAGCTGACCACCCTAAAATGCGGCGATACATCTACCAGCAGGGCAGGTGCAGACACTGCAGTGGTAAGTCTGCATGCTTGCCAGCACTCAGACTCTGGAGGCCATGGCAGGGATTGTGAGTTTAAAGCCAGCATGGGCTACATAGGCAATCTAATAAGACTCTGCCAAAGAAGGAAGGAATGAAGGAAGGGAGGAAGAGATGGAGGGAAGAAGGAAGGATGGAGAAAGAGAAAGGGAAGGAGGGAGAGAAAGGAAAGGAAAGAAGGAAGAAAGAAGGAAGGAATGAAAAAAAGGAAAGAAATCAATCCAGTTGGTTACCATGACTATAATCCTAGGTACTTGGGAGGCTGAGATCGGGAAGATCGTGGTTGGAGGCCAGCCCTGGCAAATAGTTCTTGAGACCCCATTTCTTGAGACTGGAAGCATAGCTCAAGCAGTATGCACCTGCATTGCAGGCATGAAGCCTGAGTCCCACCAAATCATGATCATCACGATCTTCATCCTGGTGTGTACTAGTCTAGCAGAGACACACTTAGACCAAGTGATGTAGGGAGAAAAGAGGCACAGGTTGAGCGTCTCTAATCCTAAACTACAAAATCTGAAATACTCTGAAGCCTTAAACTTTATGAACGCTGGTGTAACATCTGGAGTGAAGACTTTACTCTTGCCTGCCACGATGGGTTGCAGTCAGACTCAGGCACACTACACAGTGTATAAAAATGCCTTTAGGTCCTGTGTATCAGACAGATATGAAGTACAAGTGAGTTTGTTCAGACTGAGATCCACGCCAAGAAACCTCATTGTAACTATGCAAATACTCCCAAATCTGAAACACTTCTGGTCCTAATCAATTTGGATAAGTGCATCAACCTGTACTACCAATGTTAGACAGACAGAAAGCAAGTGCAGCAATATGGATAGGAGGTAATAAAATCCCAGGCCCAAAAAGTACATTAAAAGGAGCAAAAGCCTATTTTATACTGATCAGGAACAAACTTTTTATAAAAGACCAGATAGTGAACCTTTCACGCTTTCAGGCCCTACCAGTACTTCTAACACTGCAGCATGAGAGCACCCGTAGATGGCATATTAAAAAATGACTACAGCTGTGTGCCAGTGAAACTTCTTTACAAAAACAAGTGTCAGGTCAAATTTGGCTTTTGCTAATCCTGTACATAGATTGAAGCTAAAATGATCTGTAAGATTTAATAAGAATCTTTGCACACCTGACAACATAGTTTTGAAATGTCTAAATCAAAGATTTCTATCTAAGTGAAAGGAGAATTTGGGGCTGGGGCCATAAATCAGTGGTAGAGCACCTGCCAGCATGTTTGAGACCCTAGGTTACATCCCCAGCTCCATAAACAATAAAAAACAAACAAACAGGAGAATTTAACAAACCTCCAGAAAAGTAGACCTTCAGATGGTGATAGATTCAGTAGACAGAGACAGTGTTACGAATGTGACAGTGCGCTTGTTGATCTGCACATATACCTGTGGTTCTAGATTCCTGCCCCAGTGAGCTCAGCTGGATTTTGGTATCCTCCTTGCATTTTTAAAACCAGAATACTGTGTCTTCCCCTAAATGGAGCTGAAGACTGGAAAAAGCTCTGTCTTCAGCACTGGGTTCTGTGCACATCCCTAGAGTTTGCACTTAAATCAAATTCCCGTCTTGTGGTATTAATCCTATGTGGGTGTCAACACCAAGGGGGAGCCAGGAGAAGCATGGGGCAGGGTCCCAGCCCTTGATGGGTGTGCACACATGCAACAGCAGTGACCTGGTCAGTTCCTGACCTCGTTCAGCACCTTACGTGGCTCTCTCCTGGTTGGATATTCAAGGCCTTGCATGGTTTGGTCCCAGCCAGCCTCTACAGAATCTTTGCTAGCCTTTTGCTTCCTGGAATTGGGTCCTGGTTACTCTTTCAACTTTGTCTTCTTCTGCCTGTATGCTTTGCTTTGCCATGTGCCACCTTCCCTCCCCCCATACCTGGAATGCCCCCTTTCGTCCCCCTCCACTCTCACATCCTTTCCCAGCGAGACTTTCTGTTCCACTGTTCCTTGCCTCTCTGCCCCTCCATGATAACGTTCTTTTGTGGTCACGTCCTCGCAGACGGAGATGCGCCTTGGTCTTCTGGCACTGATACAGAACGGTATTGTGCACACACGGGTGCTAGGCAGGGCTGTGCAGTTCAGGTCAGGGGAAGGAAGGCAGCTCAGTGGGGAGCCTTCCTGCGTGGAGCAAACCGGCAGACTGGATGTGGGAATCCTGGCACCACCCCCGGTCATGACCTTGGATGGGTCAGGAGGCCCTAGTTTCCTCCTTTAATTTTTCCTCCTTAGTAAAATGGGACAGTCAATAACATATCCCTTGTGGGGCTGTTGTGAGAAGTAGGTGTGCCTGGCACACAGTGAGCTCATAGGACATGTCAGCTGTTAGTGCTTTCACCTCCCTCCAGCAATTCACTGTAGCTAGGCATTGGCAGAGCTGGGATTTGAACTGATGTCCTTGATTCCAAATCCCACAGGGACGTATGCCCTGTCCCAAGGGCCTGTCCTCAAACAAACCCAGACACACTGAGTCAGGGCCATCCGTGGTGGCTCCAGAGTGTCGCCTTCCCAGCCGATATCCCAAGCCTGGCGCTGGGACGGCTACGTCCGTCTAATGCTAGGAAGTTGATTTGGTTTGGGCTCCTTCCTGCCCCTGTCATCCTCTGTTGAGGAAGCCAGCTCTCCCACCACCGTGCCAGGCTGCTAACCCCCCACTTGTACAAGCGTGAGCTATCCGGGTCAGCAGAGAAGCCTCCTAAATATTGTGAAAAACATAGATTCTCGGGCTCCACCCAGGACCCATGAATCAGAGTCTCCAGGGGTGGGGCCTGGGAATCTGGACACAGGGCACAAAGTAGGAGATGCACCGGTTCTTTAACCCTTTTATTTTGTGGCTCAAGAGCTGTGTGCACTGCTGCTTCGAGGCCCCTCTTCGGAGTCTTACTTGGTCTGTGGCTGCTGCCATTCCCAGCTCTGTCCCCATCCTGTACCCCTGTCCGCTCCCCTCCACCGTAGTCTTGGAATCTCTAGAAACCCTGTACAATGGAAGTGGCTGCGAACGGGTGTACAGAGAGCCCTCTGGAAACACAGGCTCTGCTCACAGACTTCCTGTGTCTTACAATGTTATCTTCAGAATAGGAAACTTTGCCCCATTTTTGCAACGCACATCCTTTGCCTGAGAGTCAGTGGTGGTGCCGGCCAGCCAGGGCGGGTCACTTCTCAGGCACAGGCCTGAGTTGTTCCGACAGCCATGCAAGGAAGGCCTCTCTCCTTGCAGCCCACAAGAACAAACAAACAGACCGTTTTGCAAAAATAATTCATGTCAGCCAGACTCATCAGGATTATTTGTCTCAGTTCCTTAGACCTGCTGGTACCGACAGGGGTCCTTTCTCCAAGATGGCTAACTGTGGGTCCTACCCTGCTGGGTGGCCTGAGCAAGTGCCTGTTGGTCTCCAAGCCTCAGTTTCCTCTTCTGTAAGGAGAGAAATTGGGCTAAGTCATCTCCAACCCTGACAGCTAGCAAATCTCCACGAATCCTTTAGACTCCTCTAACTCCCTCCAAGCTCCCCTTTGAAAGGAACATGATGCTGCTATTCAACCATATGTTGCATGGTTTTCAGAGTTTTCTGACAATCCAAGAGGCGTGTGTCCCCCTTACCCCAAAATATTTAAGTGACCCACGGAGTTGGTGGCCAGATATCCCAGGCTACAGAGTGCATTCTGAGCCAGCAGCAGGGAAGCAACTCTTAAACCCAGGAGTCAGGCTTCTGCAGGCCTGCAGTCACTCAGACCTGGCTAGTGCTTGCCTGCTATAGGCAGCAGCAGGAAGTGCTTATGCTCGCCCAGTCTCAGGGAGGGCTGTTTTGGTCGGAGGGAAACAATAATGTGTATATAGCCCACTAAACAACTTGGAGCTGACCAGAAGGAATAATGTTTACAGAAACAAGAGTCTCCCTGGTTTCCTCTGACATCCTCATTGACTTCTCCCTTTAGCCTCCAGTGCTTCCCTCACTGCAGAGAGATTCAGTCCTACTGTGAGCACATTTTGCCTCTGCACACAGTAGGCATTTGCTGAGCACAAGAGGAACCCAGCTCCCTAAACAAAAGCTCTTCTTGCATCTTCTGCTGGCGAGAAACCAAACCCACAACGAGTGGTTCTTGAAAACATCCTGCCCACTCTTTCCCTCCAGGGAATTTGCTTCCAGGGTTTCCGGGTGGAGCTCCACGTGTTCAAGGCCTGGGCAGGGCGCTCTCTGTGGCTGCATGGAAGTCCGTGAGGGGCTCTTTGGAAGGTAGAGATGACTGAGCTCCAGCAAGACTCACCTTCTAGGAAGTGGTTCTCAGCGGGTATTTAAAAATAAGTATGTCAGTTTGCCTATTACAGGGTAAATGCCACAAGGAAGGGTTGAACCAAGTGGATGATCACATTCCAAGTGTGTAGATGAAGAAGGCCTCCAGTCAAACTGCATGGTTGATGAAGGGACAACTCCAGATCCATGGTGTCCATCTGGTGGCAGGACACATGCATTGTAGCAAGCCCCAGCCTTGGTGTTTTTGTTGGTTTTACTGATACCAATTTTTTGTGTGGTGGTACCGGGTCTGGAACCCAGGGCCTCAGGCATATTAGGCAAGCACTCTACCATTGAGCTGTACCCCCAGTTCTACTGGCCATTCAAAAATGTCCATGAGGGGGGTAGCCACAGGGTCTCAGTGGGCTCTGCTGAACACCTCCAGAACTGGGAGATGGAAAATGGAGGGAAGCGAGGCGTGGGTGACTGACACCTGTAATCCTAGCTACTCAGGAGGCAGAGATCTGGAGGATCACTATTCAAAGTCAGCCCAGGCAAATAGTTTGTGAGACCATATCTCGAAAAAACCTATCAGAAAAAAGGGAGGCGGGGGGACTGGTGGAGTGGCTCAAGGTATAGGCCCTGAGTTCAAACCCCAGTACTCCAAAAAAAAAAGTAGAAGAACACTCTTCTGTTCTGGGGACCGGCCCAACTCCCTGCCAAGGTCAACTGCCACTTGAAGGGGCTCTCAGACTGGAGGGCTGCTAGGTAGCACCAGGGCACCCTGGGGAGACTGGCGGCTCTGGGTCTCCCTGGCTTGGCTCCAGCTCCCACGTGCCCTGAGACACAGGCAGTTGCCTCTAACTCTGTGCCCTTAGGGACCCGCCCAGCCGGAACCTGCCAGTCCTCCGTCAGTGCCGCCTCCCCGACTTGGCAGGGCTAGCTCCCCAAGCTGAAGCAGCCCTCGGTATTTCCAGCTTGGCCCCCTGCCTGCCTCTCTGGGGCCTTGCAGTCTGTCCCTCTTGGGCCAAGATCAAGGCACCCCTCAGCCTGATGGCTTCCCAAGCCTTCTGAGTCCTCTTCCTGCCACCCTATGCACCCTCCACTCATCTGTCCTCACCTCCATTGTGTGACCACCCAGAGGCCAACATGCTGCTCCCCAGGGAGAAAATATGGGGCCAGGCTGATTTGTAAATCACCAGGGAGGCCACAAACAGGTGACCTTGGTTCACCTACTGCAGTTGACGCCTGAGGGGTTTCAACACAGGGTGGAGCCCCTCCCTGCCCTCTCTCATGTGGAAATGCCTGAGCTGGCACTGTCCCCTGGCCTAAGGCCCTAAGAAGTGCTGCTTCTTGAGGCTGGATACAGAGAGCACTGGGTGGCATGCTGGTATGCAGTCAAGGGCTGCTGCATCTTCCTGGGCAGCCACTGAGGGCCCAGGAGTGTCAGCCATCCCCATGGCTTCTTCAAATACACAAAAACACCGACAACTGGGGCGACCTTGCCAGTCCAGGCTGACTGGGTGGTGGGGAATGGGAAAGGAGACTGTCTAAGAACCCAGGTTTTGTGACTGCCGCACCTTGATGCTCATTGCTAATGTTCCTGTGAGAGGTCACTGGAAGGTGGGCTTTAATAAAGGCAGATAAGTGCAGAGGGGAGTTGGTGGCAGTTGTTTATACAGTGCTGGTAGGATAAACAGTTGTACTGAACCTTATTTATATTTTGCATGTGTTTATCAAGCTTTTTTAAACTTCAGCCCAGCTGCTATGAGAATTATTACAAGCTCTGGATTTATGAGTCCCAATTAATGGTACTTTATTGTATATGCACAATAATTTACCTTGGCAGGATGTGTGCTTCGTCCAGAAGCCTTGGTTGGTGCTTAGGGGAAGCAGAGTATCAGTGTTAGAAAGACGTGAAGTCAAATCATTTGTTTTCTCAGATCCAAAGCAGAATAAGGTATGGGGCAGATAAAAGCATGAGACTCAGGGACCTTCCCTAGGGACCCTAAGGTGCCGGGTCCCTGGAGCCCACAGGCGCTGACTTAGTGCACTCGGGGTATGTATGGGGCCAGAGGAGGAAAATGACTGAGAGGACCCACGCTGGCATTACCAGCAATAATCAGTATTCATCCTTACTTTTGACCCCATGAGTTGCTTCTCTCATTTTTGTCCTTACGTCTCTTTTTTTTTTTTTTTGAGACAGGGTTTTGCTCACTTGCCCTGGAACTAGCAATCCCTCTGCCTCACCCTCCTAAGTAGCTGGGACCTGGCTTGTGACTTAAAATTCAATATCCTCCCAACTAGCATCAACCACTCAGCGTCGTCGCTGCTGATGTGAGATGCCCGGTCTGACTGGTAACTTAAAGGAGGGGATTAAGGAGGGGCTTAGTCCCAGGACTGTACATCAAGCTTGGGGGGTATGTGTGTGTGTGTATTGTATGTGTGTGGGGTGTGTGTGTGTGTGTGTGTGTGTGTTGTATGTACTCTGCTCTCCCAGATGGATTTCACTCTCTTTCACACCAAGGAAGGTCATCTTGTTTCCTGAGGCGTTTGTCCCTGCAAAGGCTTCCCAAAGCCTTGACCCAAGGAGGGGTCACACTTCCATCCTTTGCCTCCATGCAGTGACAGTGGAATGAGTGGATTAAGTTAGGAAGGCACCTTCCAGCCCAGCCTCAGGATTACTTCTGGGCTCTGTTTTAAGGCTTGGTATCCCCTTCTGACTGGTGGAAATCACAGAGGCCATGCCTCCCTGATTTGACTGCCTCCTTCTTCCCTGGTGGTGAGGGGGTGGGGGACAGACCCCCTTTCCAGATGCAGCATTTGAGGCAGGCACAGCCTCTGATGGTGATGGCATCCAGGTTGGGTTGGCACTGTGGGGTGAGTTGGGCAAGGAAACTTTTGGGTGTTTGGGTTTTCTGCTGTTATTTTTAACTCTGGTTTTAAACGTCCTGTCTTGCAGCAGTGGCCACAAGACAGAGCTGGATGTTATGAGTCGCTTGATGTAACTAAGAGGGCCTGGCCTGTGAGTTCCCCACCAAGGAGGAAGTGGTTAGGTGGCCAGGAATGCAACCTGTGCCTCCCAGATTAATTAATAATTGAGAGCTGGCCCCCAGCCAGCCAGAGCTGGAGAGACAGAGTGAACAAAGCGGTGGTTAACTTGTGGTGGGGGAGGGGAGGCTTGACTTTGCCAGTAGCTAAGTGGGAAATTCACCATGGCCATGATTTATGGGCTGAAGTACTCAGTATCCTCTTTAGTGGGTCCAACTAGGGCCTGCGCTCTTGGGATGTAGACGTGGGTGCTGGTAACCCAGGTTGCTGGTGCCCATGGGAGTTGGGGGAGGGTGGCAGGCTTGTGGAGGAGGTTTGATCATACCCGTGAGAAACCTCAGAGACAGGGACTGTTCTGGCTGCCTGTTGGAATTTTGTACAGACTAAAGGATGAGTGGCTGGGGAGCAGGCTGCCCTGCATTTGAATTTTGGTTCATTGGCTATGTGACCTTGGGCAGGGATTTAATTTATACTTGCCTATGGGCGGTCAGTCATATGGGATAAGTAGACAGTGGGTGCCTGGCAGGTCTGGGTTCTGGTGGGGTGACTGATAGAAGGCCTTAGGATTGATCCAGTCCGGGCAGAGGGCTCATGCCATCAGTCTCTGTCAGCGTTTGCTGGACTCACATATACTGGGTGTCTGCTGCTTGCTAGGGTAGACTCCGCCAGAGCCCCTCTAGGTTTCCCTGTATTGAGAAAATACCCCTTCTTCCCACCTAATCCCAGCCCCCTGCAGAGGGGGACAGTTCCAGAAGGCACTCAGGCATTGCCATCAGTTGCGTTCAGCCCCGTTATCTCCTTGGGCCCCTTTTCCAGAAGAAGTCAAGGACTGAGAACTGGATCATGGAAAACAAGGCGGATGCCCCTCTTTGCTGAAAAGTTAGCTTTGGAATTAGAGGTCCAAGTAGCAGCATGGCTAGCTGTCAGAACGATTGCTGTCACGTCACTGCTGACTTGGCTGAGTCACAGCGTGTGCCTCAGAATTGTTCTGAAAATATAAAGCCCGTTCTGAAGTGACAGCTGTCCGTCTTCCAGAACGCTTGGCAGAAGGCAGTGGTGGCAGAAGGCAGTGGTGGGAGTGGTGCCTCATCAGTGTTATGCATGGTGCCTCAACCTCCCTGAGCCTTATATTCCATAACCTGAGGAGAATGGGGAAATGTCCACAGCTAGAAACGGTGTCCCACCATGACCAGCAATGGGCACACAGCCATCCTTTTGCACAGGCTAGCGGGGTTACGGGGAGCATGCCTAGCTCCCTCCTGCTGTGGTAACCAGGCGTGGGGCCAGGGGCTCTGTGGGGCTAGCCAGGTGGGGTGGACAAACTGGTTGGCTCCCTCCTTCCTCTGCACATCCCACCTCCACCCAGCCCTGTCCAGGGAGCGTGGAGCTCGCACACAAACAGTGCCAAGCAGCTTTGACTCACCTGCACAGAAGCACCGCCACAAACAGTAGACAGGTAGGCAGGTCACCTTGGCAGAGCTGGGAGCTGCCAAGCCAGTAGGTTATTTTGCAGCATTTTTGTAGGAGGGAACGTTGAAGTCTCACGTTACTGCATTCTCTACAGCAAATACTGACATTTAATTGTGGATTAATGATCTCGCCAGTCAATATTAGCTTTTTGCTTATTATAAGGCACTCCTGTTTGTTCCAGAAATATATAAGAATGATTCAGGCAACGCTTGCTTTTAGAAAATCCGGCATGTAGGAGTCTGCGTTCACTAACCAGGCTTGGACTGGGTATCTTTGTGTAACAAAAGGATATTTTAAAGGAAAGAATTTAATGTAAGAATTATTTTAAAATTGAGCACCCACCTCTGGCATTTTGGGGTGTTTATCCCAAACTGCATCTTTAGTGTAAATCAAGGCAAGTATATTTAACTTCTAAAACACACAGTGTTTTGTTGGTAAATAACAACAAGTAGGTATTAGATTGAGGCTAATTTTTGAAAGCTTTGCAAATCAGAAAAGCAGCTTTGCCACTCCGTTCTTTGGCTTTTCCATCCAAAGCTATGCTCTCTGGTCCCTCCAGCTTCACAGACTTAGCAGGCCAGAGAAAGTCACCCCTATTGCCAGACAGGATGCCCACAGCTTTAGGCTAATGGGTTGTTTTGTGCCATAGGAACAGGCCGTCCACATGTATAGTGGGCTCCTGTTGATTCATGCTGACCAGGCTGTGTGGTGGGGGTCAACAAGAAGGGACAATGTTCCTCTCCTACCCTAATGTCTGGACCTGTGAGCTTCAGTGGTGCCACCTGGAAGATGGGCTCAGTATTGCCATTGTACTTTTTTCAGGGGTGTTTGGGGTGGGAATGGGGACACATGATTCCCCAAGAGTTCTTCCTATCCTTAACTGCACCCCACTACTTGAGAGCACCCTGAAAAGGTGCTCACTGCCAGATCCCTAGGGAGGAGGGGCAAAGCAGAAACTAGCTAGACCAGGCTGTATGCTCATGGTGAGCCAGCCTGTGACACGCATACCCTCTTGTCGCAGCACAGAGAATCACAGGGGAAGTGGGTTTCAGGTTTCAGACCTAGGGGCTGTGGAAGGCTCTCTTTCCAAAGGAAGGTGACTGGTGGTTAGGTAAGATTCTGACAAACGCTGGACAATGGGGAAGGAAACTCATTCACCAAAAGCCAGATACTGTTGCCAGACCTATCTCTAAACCCCTTGGCCTTCTGAGCTGGGTGTCCTGGGAGGTGGCACCAGCAGGACAGGCTCCATGGGTGTGCAGTGTGGGCAGCCCCGTGGGGCACTGCTCAGAACGGATCTCTGCTTAATGTTTTGCTTTCACCATCTTGAAATTATTAATTTTTGAATAAGTGGCCTGCATTTTTCACTTTGTACTGGATCCCCCAAACTATGTAGGTGCCCCGGCCCTCAGAGATGTAGTCACCTGCTCAAAGCAACACAGCTGT